TTCTGAAGAATTTTAATTTAAAGTGGCAGGATGTTGGAATATTATTAAAAGTAATACCACACTTGGTAGTTGAAACTTCATCTTCATCTTCCATGACGACTTCTCCTTTCGAGTCGCGGTAGCAGATGCGTCAGACAGTGTTGCCAACGCTCCCAATCCCGTGCCAGTGTCTGAGCTTCAGCAGAAGAAAAGTGGAGTCTGGAGCAGACTCCTTCCATATACTTTCACCTTGTAAATCTTGGCCGTCCCCTGGGCCTTCTACCGATTGGCTGGGCAAGAAACAGTTGCTTAGTCTTCATTTCAGGAGGCATTCGCAACATATGCTCAGAACATCGCAGCTGTGAATTCTCAATCTGATAACACTGAGGCTGTGCAATGAAACTCTCGCGGATTTATGTATTCTGAACCGTCTCAAGACGCCGACACCATCGATTCGTCTCAGAGAGCCCATTTCAACCGCTTCCCAGTCATGTACCCGAGGTCGAAGCTTCTCAATCATGGTTCACAACTCATGACCGTAGGCAAGCATGGGGATAAAGATCAACTTGAATACTGAGAGCTTAGTCTTCAGTTTCAGCTCTGCTTTAGTCACAATGGATTTGGCTAGTTTACGCAGAATAGCACTTGCTACTCCAATTCATCGATCGATCTCTTCTCAGATTTTCTTAAAAATTTTTGAATTAAAATTTTTCAAACTTTACCAAAATAAATATCAGAAAGAACTACTTGTGGATGATTAACTAAATCAGAATGAGACCAAAAATACATCATTTTAACGGAAAAGTGACTTTCACCACCGAGAAAGTATAATTTGCCAGACGTCGCTTTTAGAAGTTAGCTTATCGTGAATTTGACATCAGTTCGTTTTGAAGCATTGGAACTTAACTGATTAGCCTTGGATCCAAAGTTCTTCTTCAGTCAATCATCACTGATTGAATCGCTTCCAGATGCTGTCTCTGGATTGGAAAAGTCATTTTAAGTGCACAAGCAAATAGTAGAGCTAAGAATGATGAAATTATTGCAAATATGAGCCTGGTTTTCAGAAATAATATATGGCTTTGTTGCCCGAACTTACCAGGTATGTATCTGGGCATGGAATAAACTAGAACATGGCAGAAACAAAAGCAGAAGGCAGAAACAAAAAGTTTAATCGTTTCAAGCGTAGACAAAAGGTGCGGAGCAGTGATAATGGGAAAATTAGTGTGTATATTCGAAAGAGGAGTAACGAGTTTAACAGTGAAGAAGTTTGTTGTAAAAGGTGAAAGAACATTAATCCAACGAAGAACAGATAAAATTATACTGTCTCTTGAGCAAATTTGCTTCAGAACAGAAGTTAGTTAAAGAAGAAATTAAGACTGTTTAGTCTGTTTATCGTTACTCTTAACTGTAACGGAAGGGTCACACTGCGTAAACCAGGTGACACGCTTCTCAATATACAGCTATTTTGAAAAACTGTAACCTGCAAAGTCAGCAGACAACTAGATCACTTTCTAAAACCGGCTGCACGAAAGTTTAAATATAGAGTAAAAACGTATTGAGCTTTATCGAGAAACTGAAGAAAGTAGCATTAGGAAAATATCGTCTGACTTATTTCGACGCAATGGAATTTTTCGATAATGTCATTGCGACAAAACTAATGCATGATATTCTTCCATATATACTGGACACCACTAGGGACAAATTCAAGCACGTATAGAGTATTTTCCATTAGGTATCAGAACAGGATCTTCACTTGATATTTAACGTTGGTTTGGTAATGACGGATTTACCTTTCAAATTTTTATTAACCATATGAAGTTTTGAATTCACATGCGATCAATGACACAAATGTTATCGTGGATCTATATATGGATAATCTTTAAACATCCATGCTGCAAAACTGTCAAACTTAGCATTCCCTTCGGGAATCTGTTCTCCTTGGTTGTTGCGGCGATTGAAATCTCTGAAGGATATTGGTGATTTTAGACTGGTTTTTTTCGAGCCATGTACATGTTCCTGTAGTTCATTCTACCCCAAGAAATATGCAATCTGCCAGTAACCTGTTTTAGATAGAGCGAATTTTTTTCCAAGGTTGATGAAGTTGAAGAAGACATAAAGAAAGTCCGAAACATCCTAGAAGATTACTTCGCATACAACGAATCCACCGGATTCGAAGAAAAAACACCGCTACGTAAATCCATCGGCTGACAAACTGGATCATCAACAGACGCAATGGCTATCAAAGCAAAACAAATTAGTCAATCAGACATCTCAGACCAGAAATCGAAGACTGCTGGGTTCCATACTTCAACGGGCTGTCCAGAATGGAATGAAAACAGCATCGTCCCTAAACCCAACAAACAGGAAAAGGGATCCTGGAAGCAGTGAAGGTAGAGTTGACAGAAACAAAATTAACAGGGGAAAAGAAACTTTTAAAATCAGCATGACCCACTGACTTGCTGCGTAATTAAATTGTGCGCTATTTGAACTCACATTTCCCGCTACAAACTAATCAGCATACCTTTACCATGCACTAAAACTCAAATCGTTCAAATATGCATTTCAATAAAGCTACAGCGCCGACTTCAAAGCAGAGCTCATCATTCCAAAAAACGAAAGGGCAGCTACTCTAATTTTGACTCTTTTCACAAGTAACCTGTCATCTTGAGACGCAAGAGTTTTTGCAGTTCTTGCTACGAATCTAACAGCGGTTTCACACTCTCTCAATCCGAACTAAACTGTTTAAATAATAAAATAAAGAACTTTATGTAAATAAACTACAATTAGTAAGCTTTAATCTAAAAAGCCAATGACGCGATCCATTGAAACTTACTCTGAAAAACATTTACTACCCTGAAAAGTAGGGTAGTAGGGTTGCTGGTGTAGCGTTTGTTCTTTGTTTCTTCACAATATTTTCCGCCGACCGCATATATGGTCATTTAAGACGCACACAACTTTGGCTGCAGTACCGTCACAGCGTTTTGATGTCTCGCGCTCTTATGTAGTTTCTGCATGATGCAACAATCCGCTGCTTCGCGATTGTTCCGATGAAGATGTGTGTTCAACACATGTGTTCGCTGCGCTTACACAAGGCTACTGTTCATAACTGAAGGCAAGCGCCACTGTTGGTGGAGGTAGAGGAGATATCGACTCGTAAGGCAACACTCTGGGTGCTACACTAGCACTTTGAAGAATTAATTATTCGATCATTCTTAAAGGTACCTACACCAGAAGTCTTGCATATTCAACAATATTAATTTTAACATATTATAAATAGCATGACATCAGGTCTCCTAGATTTGTGCAACTGGTTCTGCTTGCCAAGCAGAAGTGAAACGACTAAAATTTCTTGTATAAACTGCTGCAGTGAAGAAATTATGAAAAAAGTATATTTAAATCCTTATCGAGGTTAGTACTAAGTCAAACAATGAAAGCAACCATATTGAAGTTAACTTTTTTTATCCAAAACTCGGAAAATATTACACAGTACATAGAAAATGGTTTTCGAACCTATTAGGAACAGACGGTTCATTGGGATCGCTGATGAACCGGAAACTTCATCAGTCAGAGAAAACAAAAATAATGAACGTCGTTGATAAAATTTATTGTTAAAAGTTTTAAATAGGGGTGATTATAAAAAGATTGAATAAAAAGGTTTGCGAAGTATCTGGCAGCTCTGAAGAATTAGACAAATAATAAATTCGATATGTTGTTGAATTCGTTAAGTTCTTCTTGTAAGTTCAGATAACTCCTAATTAACAATTTGCTTGAAATATATAGATAACGGATATGTAAGCAAAAGTGTCACAAACATTTGCAATTCATTATTAGTAGTCCGAAATTGTGTGCGCTTCATTAATATGGGCAGTACGGTTTTCATGTACTTGTTGACTCTATCTGGAGCTTAGATACGTGAGGTTACTAAATGCAGACTTTCCTACGCAAATGCGCGATAGAAAGTAGTTCACAAACTTCTGCCATAATTTCGTTAAAGGTAAAGTTAATGGCTAATTATTTATGAGTATTTGCCATATCTACCTTTAACTCTTCAAAAAACTAGCCTTAAATCTTCTCCTGTTTTATGCTTACGAAATGAACTTTCTAGAATCGTCGCGAAAAGACTTTCGTCCATAAAATCGACGCGCTCGCTGAGAAGCCATTATTGCGGATTATCGTGTAGTGTGGTTGAAGCTGTTGTACTGCTGAAAGTTGTAAGATGTGGTAGAAATCTGTGAATCTGTGGTTGCAATTTCAGTTTAGGTAGATCATGCCCGAAGTAGAAGCAGCAGAGCCAATGCAGGCGGATCAGAAGATGGAAGGTGAAGAGGCCGAGACTTTTGCCTTCCAGGCCGAAATTGCCCAACTAATGTCGCTGATCATCAACACGTTCTATTCGAATAAGGAGATTTTTCTTCGAGAGTTGATCTCCAATGGCAGCGACGTAAGCATGTGATTTTTTCCGTTGACAGTGATTTTAAGCGAAAGTTGTAGGCATTAGACAAGATCAGGTACGAGTCGCTGATCGACCCATCGAAGCTGGACACGGGTAAAGATCTGTACATAAAAATCATTCCGAATAAGAATGACCGCACAATCACCGTGATCGACACGGGGATCGGGATGACCAAGGCCGATCTAATTAATAATCTCGGTACGATCGCGAAGTCAGGAACGAAGGCGTTCATGGAAGCCTTGCAGGCCGGTGCTGACATTTCGATGATTGGGCAGTTCGGTGTTGGTTTCTACTCTGCGTACCTGGTTGCTGACAAAGTGACAGTTGCCAGCAAACACAACGACGACGATGGCTATATGTGGCAGAGCAGTGCTGGTGGTTCCTTCACCATTAAACCGTACAGCGATCCGGAGTTGACTCGTGGTACCCGAGTGACCTTATACCTGAAAGAGGATCAGTTAGACTATCTGGAAGAACGACGCATTAAGGAAGTAGTCAAAAAACACAGTCAGTTCATAGGGTATCCTATCAAGTTGGTCGTCGAGAAGGAACGCGAAAAAGAAGTAAGCGACGATGAAGAGGAGGAGGTGGAGAAAAAGGACGAGGCAGAAAAGGAAAGCGAAAAGCCAAAGGTCGAAGACGTAAGTGACGAATCTGACGAAGAGAAGGAGAAAGAAAAGAAAAAGAAGAAGAAAATTAAGGAAATCTACACCGAAGATGAAGAACTAAATAAGACGAAACCAATATGGATGAGGAATCCCGATGAAATCACTAGTGAAGAGTATGGGGAATTTTATAAAAGCTTGACGAATGACTGGGAAGATCACTTGGCCTGCAAACATTTTTCGGTAGAAGGTCAGCTGGAGTTCCGGGCTTTGCTTTTCATCCCCAAAAGAGCACCTTTCGGCCTGTTCGAAAATCATAAATGTCGAAACAACATCAAACTGTTCGTCAGGCGCGTATTCATTATGGAAAACTGCGAAGAACTGATGCCCGAATACCTTAATTTCATAAAGGTATTAACGCTTGCTATTTTAGGGTAGCATTTCCGTAATTTTGCTTTTTAGGGAGTGGTGGACAGTGAAGATTTGCCACTGAATATTAGTCGTGAAATGCTGCAACAATCCAAAATTCTCAAAGTTATCCGCAAAAATTTAGTTAAGAAGTGTTTGGAACTTTTCGAGGAACTGAGCGACGATAAAGACAATTACAAAAAGTTCTACGAACAGTTTTCAAAGAACATCAAGGTACGCTAACTTAAAACAATTCGTTATAGTTTGAGAGGTAATGTGATAGCTGCGTCATTCCTTCGCTTATGAACTGGATGTCCTTTTACAAATTTTCCAGTTTTAGGCTGATTCTGGTTTTAAACATTGGTATGTGAAATTAGCGTTGTCACACCGTCTACGCTGCACACACCCTTAAGAGCTGTTCTCCATGTTTCTATGGGCTTTTTTGGCTATTCTACGGGGTTACTTTCCAGTTAATTTCTTCGTCAAGTGTTGCGGTGTACTGATGCCTGTTTCTTACTCAAAATTATTCTGATATAATAGATTCATTCTTGCCTGAGATTACATTTACGTTTTTACTTCAGCGAGGTTATATAACTGTTGATATAACTGTTGTTGTAACGATGTTCGACTGCTGTTGAAGCAGTGATCGCTTAAACGTATTTTAGCTCGGCATCCATGAAGATTCTACCAATCGCAAGAAACTATCTGAGTTCTTGCGGTTTTACACGAGTGCAAGCGGAGATGATATGTGTTCCCTTAAAGACTATGTTGATCGAATGAAGCCGAACCAGAAGTCTATATACTATATCACGGGTGAGAGCAAAGAAGCTGTTGAACATTCTGCTTTCGTCGAAAGTATTACCAAGCGAGGGTTTGAAGTGGTGTATATGGTTGACCCGATTGATGAGTATGCTGTGCAGCAGTTAAAAGGTTTGCCTTTTTTACAAGCTATACGAGTTATACGTTTATACGCTATAGATTATGACGGAAAAACTCTTGTGTCTGTGACGAAAGAAGGCTTGGAATTGCCAGAAGATGAACTGGAGAAGAAACGAAGAGAAGAAAATAAAGTCAAATTCGAGAATTTGTGCAAAGTTATGAAAGAGATTTTGGATAAGAAAGTTGAAAAGGTTTGTAGTCTCAACTGTACTTCTTTAATAAATCTTCCTGCATAACTGCGTTTTGCCTATGCTATTTACTGCTTGACGGCAATGTCTGCAGTTTGGCTAGGATGGCTGAACGATGCATTTGGAAGTAGAGTATTAGGAAGATCTGGAGCATCTTAGCGAGGACCTCTCTCTCGATGTTCGATGCGCTAAGGTGTTACACATTTCTCCTACATATCCTTCTATGTAAAGGATATTACCATCCATTCATTTTCATTGTTTTTGTCATTTAGGTCACGATCAGCAGCCGCCTCGTGAGCTCACCGTGCTGCATAGTTACTTCACAGTATGGTTGGTCTGCGAATATGGAACGTATAATGAAGGCTCAAGCTCTTCGCGATACGAGTACGATGGGGTATATGGCAGCGAAAAAACACCTTGAAATAAACCCGGATCATCCTATTATTGAGCAGTTAAGACAAAGAATTGAGAAGGATAAAAACGACAAGACGGTTAAAGATTTGGTGTACTTAATATTCGAAACCAGTCTGCTGTCCAGCGGTTTTTCGCTTGAGGATCCGCAGACTCACGGGCAACGTATTTATAGGATGATCAAACTTGGACTAGGTATAATATTCGCCGAAGAAATTCAAACGTAGTGAAAGCAGAATTTTTAGGAATTGACGAAGAAGAAGAGATGGCACAGCCTGAAACTTCCGCGGAGATTCCGCCTCTGGAAGAAGCACATGACGACGAAAACCGAATGGAAGAAGTCGATTAAGGGTTTGAATGTCACAGCAGTTCACGGAAATTCGCTTGTCAGTAGATTTAACTCTGCGCAGACGATGTTAATGATATCGAAATAAACGATGTGACTTGATAACTGAGCAACAGTCGGTAAATTCAACCCATTTACGGTTTCAAATCAAGGAACTATGTGCCACTTGGTTACTAGTTAGACACTTCAGACTACTCCACGCGTTGCTTTCAGAAAAGTTCATCGATTCCTAATATCAAGATATATTGAACAAGCGCATTCCAAACTACTTTCCTTTGTTTCTCGCACTTCCCAGCTATTTTTCCGAAGCAGTTACTTAGAGAAAATGAGGTAAGCTGAGTTTTAAACAAAAACTGTTCGACATTTTGAAGTAAGAGACTAAAATTCTTAATATTATGTGTATGAAGTAGAAATGCGGCAAAAATCGGTACCGCCTACAGCGAAGCAGCACCAGTTGTTTCGTGAAAGCTTTCGTCAAGTAGACGCATTACAGCCATGGCAACGTATAAAACTGAACATTCGCCGCCACGTTTTCGGTCGCGCAAACAGTTGCATTCTATCATTTTTGTGAAGCAATGAATTCACTATTGCTTAAATCTGTATCCTAGACTTAAAAGGTCCGTCTTCGCGAACTAAAGAAAACGTTCGTTTAAGATACTGTTTGCTGCATATTTCTTGACAAACCTGTCCTATGCTGGGCAAACAACGTTACATCAGACTTGGCCTGCAGTTCGACTTACGGTGAAACGATTACATAATGGTAATGCAATGCATATTGCGTTGCATGCATGCGAAACGTTAATGTCCTCTAATCGCTCTTCCCAAGTAGAAAGCGAAGCAGAATTTTGGGAAACCATTAATAAAAAAATCGCTTATTAGTTTCATGAACTGCTATAATACCCTTCAGAAAGTCGCGGCCTGATGAATAGTGACAAATAGTCCTTAAGGAAACAGACTGAAAAAATCTAATTTCAGCGCTGCATGAACATCCTGTTCGTGAAGCAATGCATCCACTGCCGTTTAGATCTGCAATCTTTTACAAGGTCCGTCTTCGTGAATTAATGCAAATAATGGTCTAACCTCTGGTTGCATTCGGCATATTTTTGACAAATATCTTCTAAGGTGTGCAACTAAAAACCACTACATCGGCGTTAGCCTACAATTCGACGTATAGTATAAATGCACGATTACGGAACGCCTTAGGTGGTCTGCTACTCTGCCCGTTCAACACTACCAGACAAAAATAGCGAAGCAGAATTCATGAAAAGCATTACCACCAAGTAATCGATTTTACGTTACATGACGTACTACCAGTCTTAAGAAATTAGTGGGCTGATACAGTAACGAATACACATATTTTCAAGAAACTGATCGAAACAAATGTAAGAATTGCATCGCGCGCTGCATGAAAACTTTCCATCGTCCTACCTAACACCTCATGAAAAAAGCAACTTCTCAGCATCGTCTTCGTATGATCTCCAATCTAAAGCCAATTCAGTGGCAGTACATAATACAAAAAACTATTCATAATCTACGCCATAACATGTAATGACAGGGATGAGTTCAATATTTTCGGTGAGTTCTGACAAGAAAAATGCATTATTCCATTAAATGAGCAATTCCGCCAAACGGTTTCATGCCCAATATAAGCTTTTCCGCGGAACCATTGCTTAAGAAAGTGGCGATATTTCAACATTGAATGGTAGAAGATAAACAGCTCAACTTACAACAATCGATTTACAAGGATATTATGAACAACATAGCATGCTTTGCTGCAAAATTTTTCCATGAGCAACTGTTTCGACACAGCACACACCACATAAAAAACGACCCAACGTCAGTTTTACTTTCATGATTCAATTACGTAGCTAACGACGAAAAACCTCGCGAAATTGACAATATTCATTCCTTTCAGGTTCCGTTCGGTTCGACGGACATGTTTAGCTCATCCGCGTCATTCCCAGCTCCGCCTTCTTCCTGTTCCTCAGGTCGCATCGCCGGAAAGAGAAGCACTTCCTAAGCACAAAATATCAGACATGCAAATAACGACGAATAAATCATAACTGGTCAATCACAAAACAAAATTACAGTCAAGCACAGATCCGAACTTAGAGACAAATCAAAAACGCTCAAGCTGAATCCTTCGAAGCGTTTATAAGCGAATTATTCTTACAAGCAAGAGACCTGAAATCACCTGGCTGAGGAACTGACAGTCAAGAAAGCAACACAAGGGTTAACAATCGTCCCAGAACATCGGCGACTTGTAACGGTCACTCAAATGCGGAAGGCCTGTCTCTTAAGTCACAGATGAATGAATGTAAAACTTTCAGACCACAGCAGTATCAACATTTGACTTCAGTAGAAGATCAATGACAAACAAGAAAACATGACACAATTGCAGATTTAAGAACATAGCCCTGTCGTAGACAGTTGCTATCCTAAACACACCATGCGCCGCTATCAATGTCGATAGATAAATATATTACGCACCCGCCCATTAAAGATAACAAAGGTAATGCGATCCATATTCGTATCGACAACTAGACGGCCAACAATATAAATAAATTCGTAAAACGCCGTAAACCGACATCAATCACTTCTGCCCCTGTTACTACATTTTGAAGCTATACTCGTTTTCATCAGTCATCGGATCAATTCATCGAAATTTCTCGCGAGAATAACTTTATGAATGGACACTGACGCAGCAACTATTTCTAAAATTTCACGAACTAAATAAAAGGAACGTTTCATTGAGGTCACTAGAAAAGCAGATATCCATCCCCTACGTCCATTACGTTTTGCTGAGTGATGTTTCTCTTTAAAAAACAACGTCAC